TTAATTATAATATATTTATATATTATTAATTATATAATTAAATATATATATATATAATATATATAATAAAATATAATAAATATATATATATATAATATATATATATATATATAAATATATATATATAAAATATATATATAATATATATATAAATATATAAGGAAGGGCCCCCCGCTTTACGCGTTTCACTTTACGGCTTCCGCTAAATACGGTCATTTCAAATTATGCCCAAAAAACTCGCTATACGGCTCCCCCACCTGACTTTCTAATAGGGTCACCGCGCCCCACCTTGTTTTTTTTACTTTCTTCGGAGCTCAGTAAGCACTAAGTCTCTCCATTTTGTCTGGAAACTCCAAAATTTCAAATGTTTTAAAAGTTATTTCATATTTTATATATACTCTGATAATTATACTTATGTATACCGTACTTAAATAAACTTACATACTGTGCGGGCTGGCATGCAGGTACACATTAAAATCAGTAAGAGTGTCTTATGTCTCCAGATGTCATATTAGTAATGATAATAATAATCATCGTCTCATTTAAATGTCGTATATTACGTTAAATGCACTTTTCATTAACCCAAATCTATGATATTTTTTAAAAATTATATAATAAACCGATACATAACAAAAAGATGTTAAATACACCCCACAATTAGAATAAATAAACATAAATATGAATGTGGTAGCAGAACGACTTGCACAAGTGACGCCATATTAGAAATGCTAATAATAATAATAATAATCACAGAGTCTTATTAAATGTTGTAATATTACGTTAATATACACATTTTCATTAATCCATCCTGAATTTTTCAAATATATAATAAAACACGATAATAACATAAAAAGATGATAAAAAACACCTAAAATTAGAATTTAAATAAACATAATATGAGTTGTCGTAGCCAGATAACTTGTACAAGTGATGCAAGAATAACATTTTCTCAATCTAACATAAGTAAAAAATGTGTTTACTGGGTAACTGTGAAAATTATTCCTTTCGTATGTATAAGTAAGTTTATTCAGTTAACACAAATACAGTTACATAGATTTCATACTAACAACATTTAGAGAACCTAGGATAACCATAAAGTCAATTACTTTTTTTCATTCCTTCACCAACATCATTTCTTCTCAAAATGATTTCATGAAGGGGTTGTTCTTCTTTATTTTATTCTACCGTATCAATGTGAGCAACTGTACACAATGTAACTTGTACACAAACGACGTGTACACTTCGTTTACAAAATTTTACCCTCGCTGGTTTTGTTTACATAACTCTGCGCCTGTCCTCTCTCTGCCTCATTCTTTCCTCTTCATTTATTTTTTTATCTCATTTACTTACTCCTGACCCACATTAAGACTACAAATATTTTAAGGTAAGTAATGAGTGAAACTGTATATACATTTTATCGCTCTGGGATGCTTAAATATCATGGAATATATGTGTGGGTGGGTTGGCCTGGTATGGAAAGCCCGGGCTGACTACCATACATACCACACTTGATTTTTTACAATAAATACTACTCCATCTCACCCTAATTTTAAGGTAAGTATGAGTGAACTGTATATACATTTTATCGCTCTGGGATGCTTAAATATCATAGAATTGAAAGTGTGGGTGGGGTGGCCGGTATGGTAGCCTGGCTGACTCCCAAATACATACCACACTTGATTTCCCAAACAATAAATACTACTTGGTCTCACCCTAGATTAAGACTATAAATATTTTAAGGTAAGTAATGAGTGCACTATGTGTGTATTGTACTTTTTATTGTTTTTTGATGCCTGGTTCTATTGCTAACTTAATATATGTTAGTGTAAACTTGTTATCTAGTGTTTGTATGCATTTGTAAGTGGAAAAAAAGGGTGTTCCACTTTACGGCGGTTTCCGCTTTACGGCGGTAGCCTGGAACCTAACCAGCCGTATAAGTGGGGCCTTCCTGTATATAATATACTATATATATTTTTTTTTTTCTTTCAACAAGTCGGTCGTCTCCCACTGAGGAAGGGTGACCCAAAAAAGAAAGAAAATCCCCAAAAGGAAAATACTTTCATCATCATTCAACACTTTCACCACACTCACACATTATCACTGCTTTTGCAGAGGTGCTCAGAATACAACAGCTTAGAAGCATATACGTATAAAGATACACAACATATCCCTCCAAGCTGCCAATATCCCAAACTCCTCCTTTAAAGTACAGGCATTGTACTTCCCATTTCCAGGACTCAAGTTCGACTATATGAAAATAAAACCGTTTCCCTGAATCCCTTCACTAAATATACCCTGCTCACACTCCAACAGATCGTCAGGGCCCAAGTATCATTCGTCTCCCTTCACTCCTATCTAAAAACGCTCATGCATGCTTCTGGAAGTCCAAGCAACTCGCCCCCAAAACCTCCTTTACCCCCCTTTTCCAACCCTTTTAGGACGACCCCTACCCCTCTTTCCTTCCCCTATAGATTTAATATGCTTCCATGTCGTTCTACTTTATCCATTCTCTCTAAATGACCAAACCACCTCAACAACCCCTCTTCTGCCCTCTGACTAATGCTTTATTAACTCCACACCTTCTCCTAATTTCCACACTCTGAATTTTCTGCATAATATTTACACCACACATTGCCCTTAGACAGGAATCTCCACTGCCTCCAACCTTTCCTCGCTGCTGCATTTACCACCCAAACTTCACATCCATATAAGAGTGTTGGTACTACTATAAATTCATACATTCCCTTCTTTGCCTCCATAGATAACGTTTTTTGACTCCACATAAAACATCAACGCACCACTCACCTTTTTTCCCTCATCAATTCTATGATTAACCTCATCCTTCATAAATCCTCTGCCGACACATCAACTCCCAAGTATCGAAAACATTCACTTCTTCCATACCCCCCTCCCCCAATTTTTATAAACCAATTTTTCTTTATCTAAATCATTTGATACCCTCATCACCTTACTCTTTTCAAGTTCACTTCAACTTTCTACCTTTACACACATTCTCAAACTCATCCACTAACCTTTGCAATTTTTCTTTTGAATCTCCCCTAAGCACAGTATCATCAGCAAAAAGTAACTGTGTCAATTCCCATTTTTGAATTTGATTCCCCATAATTTAATCCCACCCCTCTCCCCAACACCCTAGCATTTACTTCCTTTTTCAACCCCATCTATAAATATATTAAACAACCATGGTGAACATTACACATCCCTGTCTAAGACCTACTTTTACCGGAAGTATTCTCCCTCTCTTCTACAAAACCCTAACCTGAGCCTCACTATCCTCATAAAAGCTCTTTAACAGCATTTATAACTTACCACCCTATTCCATATACTTGCAACATCTGCACATTGCTCCTCTATCCACTCTATCTATGCCTTTCTAAATCCATAAATGCAATAAAAACTTTTCCCCACCCTTTTTCTAAATACTGTTCACATATATGCTTTAATGTAAACACTTGATCTACACATCCCTACCCCCTCTGAAGCCTCCTTGCTCACCGCAATTTACATTCTGTCTTACCTCTAATTCTTTCAATTATAACCCTACCGTATACTTTTCCTGGTATACTCAGTAAACTTATTCCTCTATAATTTTTACAATCTCTTTTGTCCCCTTTCCCTTTATATAAAGGGACTATACATGTTCTCTGCCAATCCCTAGGTACCTTCCCCTCTTTCATACATTTATTAAACAAAAGTACCAACCACTCCAACACTATATACAGTGGACCCCCGGTTAACGATATTTTTTCACTCAAGAAGTATGTTCAGGTGCCAGTACTGACCGAATTTGTTCCCATAAGAAATATTGTGAAGTAGATTAGTCCATTTCAGACCCCCAAACATACACATACAAATGCACTTACATAAATACACTTACATAATTGGTCGCATTCGGAGGTAATCGTTATGCGGGGGTCCACTGTATTGTCTAAGACTCATTCCCCAAAGATACTCAGCAACACTCACTAATCTAATTATGTCAAAACATATATAATATACACAAATAACCCGCACATAAGAGAGAGAAGCTTACAACGACGTTTCGGTCCGACTTGGACCATTGACAAAGTCACACTAACTGTTAGTGTGACTTTGTCAATGGTCCAAGTCAGACCGAAACGTCGTCGTAAGCTTCTCTCTTTTATGTGCGGGTTATTTGTGTATTGTTCCAGTCACGGTATTGTGCCTTTTTTTGTTATTTATATATAATATGCCAACAGATTAAATGAAACAAGGCAGCATAAAATATATTTGACATCTCTTTCTCAAATTCTAAGAACAAAGAAAAACCATAATAAGAAACATATAACACACACTGTAGATAATTCAGATTACGTAGCTATACAAGTAGTATGTCCTGTACAGCTTTCCAAAAATAAAATGAGATGTAACTTTTATACATGTATTATACGGTATGTTTTATAACTGCTATAACCCATTTATGTTTATCCTGGCAAATTAAATTTATAAACAAGTGATCCTACAAACTGTAAATGGGGAATACTCCTGTAGCAACTTCATCAATTAATTTCTTGCCATGGAAAATCTTCCAGATAAATTTGCAAAAATCAAAAGTGAATTCTGGATGGGAAATCATATAGACAGCCAAAACATCTAAAACTCATTAGAAGAAAGGTTATGGTTAAAAATGATATACTGTATACCCACTTTCATGGTGGCCATCTTGTATTTCTACTAATTTTGCAAAATACTGTATGAAGAACACATAAGGATAATAAATTTAAAAAAAAAACTCACTGAACTAACAATTCCAAATTCACTTCCTTGGCTGCTGGATTAATGTGTACATAGAGATATCTAGAACAATATTAAGTGGTGGTGCTATTGCTGTTTGTACCAAAGCACAGAACCACCAATGAGGAAAAGAGTAATCTTTTAGTTTCCCAATGCTAGTATTGCCAATATAGATTAAGGCTAACTATTAAGCATGACATTCATGATAACCTTTAAATTATTACCTGAACAAAGCATTAAAGCCAAGAAGCCACCAGTGCTGGTACCAGATATCCAGTCAAAGCACTCTTGAATGGGTTTCCCAAGCATCTCTTGGATGACAAACAGCATTTGTGTCATGACCAACCCTTTGATTCCTCCCCCATCCAGGCACAGTACTCTACCAGTGCGCTGCTGGCGACTCCGATTTGTTACTTGCCATCTGTTTAGATTACAATACAGTAGGACCACGATACTCGCATGTTTGGCACCCGTGAAACTTGACTATTCGTAGTATTTTCTTAATGTCCTGTAAATAAACTTAAGTTCTCTCAGGTCCTTTGTGGGTCCACAGCCATTGTGCCAGAGCCAAAATGTATATATGTATATAAAGGGGAACTATTTATTTCAGACATATAAAGAAATAATCATAAATATATAGGTATATTTCACTTTTTAAATGAACACATGGATAGTGGTGTTATTTGACTAACAGTAACTTTGGTATGTAACTTTTAAAGAAACCAAGGTTCTACTATAATCAAGCATTACTGCATCACAACAATAAAATGCAAATATTCTTTATTTCAAATAAATAATTAACTGAATATTTGGAAAAGTATAGTACAGTGGACCCTCGACATTCGATACTAATCCGTTCCTGAGAGCTATCGAATGTCGAAAATATCGAAAGTCGAATTAATTTTCCCCATAAGAAATAATAGAAATCAAATTAATCCGTGCAAGACACCCAAAAGTTTGAAAAAAAAAAATTTACCACATGAAATATTAAGTTTAATGCAATAGAATAATTACAATAACAACAATAACAATAGATTAATAACAATAGAGTAATTGACACTTACCTTTAATGAAGATCTGGTGATGATTGATGGGATGGGAGGAGGGGAGTGTGTGGATGGTGTTAGTGTTTAGAAGGGGAATCCCCTTCCATTAGGACTTGAGGTAGCAAGTCCTTTTCTGGGGTTACTTCCCTTCTTCTTTTAATGCCACTAGGACCAGCTTGAGAGTCACTGGACCTCTGTCGCACAACAAATCTGTCCATAGAGCTCTGTACCTCCCATTCCTTTACGATTTGTCTAAAATGGGCCACAACATTGTCATTGTAATAGTCACCAGCATGGCTTGCAATAGCTGTGTTAGGGTGATTTTCATCCATAAAGGTTTGCAGTTCAATGCACTGTGCACACATTTCCTTAATTTCTGAAGTAGGCACAATGGATTCCACAACTGGCATAGGCTTCTCAGGGTTAGCCCCAAACCCTTCAAAATCTTTCTTAATTTCCATACTAATTCTCCCCCTTTTTACCACAGGGTTGGCACTAGAAGCTTTCTTGGGGCCCATGGTGACTTATTTTGCAGAAACAAGCACCAAAAACAGTGATAATATGGATAATACGGAATGTACCGAATGTATCCTTAGATGCGCGCACACTGGCTGGCTTGTAAACACTGGCACACACGGGGCAGTTCAGGCCACACGTGGACACGTCTCGTACGAATCGTATCGAATGTCGGGTTTTCCATCGAATGTCGGGGGTCCACTGTACTGCAAACCCTCTAGTTAACAGACTAAAAGGGAGGAAAGAAGAAGTACATTATTGTCAACTGTCCGCAGATTCCGATTTGTGAAATTAACCTTTTGTAACTGGGTCCAATGTACTAGTACACCAATTATGACTGTCTGACATACTTGTACAAACAATTTTTCCTGTCTTCAAATATGCCGCCTGCCAATATTTTTTACCTCAGCACAACTCTTTGGGTTTTCTACAACCTCTCAATTTCTTTGAAAAAATCTAAAGCCAGGCAGGCACTCTATACTAATATTATAGTGCATATTTTACAGTAAGTTTACTTATGTTTTCGTGGAACCGAGATGAGATGTAAACTGCCGTCATCAATAGTGGTGATTCAGAATAACATTTACTCTGAGTCAGAAGAGCTGTAAAGCTCTACTAGTGAAACTGTAAATGGCTGAGAAGACACAGATACTGTATAAGACGATGTTTTTTAATACCATATTCCTCACCCTGCTTCGGTGGGATACAGCCAGTTCATTATAAAAAAAAAAAAAATCCCCAAAAACCCATGTCACTAAGACCCCAGATTCAACCTTCTTTACTAGTTCAAGTTTCTGTCTAACACTGAGAACCTCAAGTTTCCTCTTGGCACCACCACCTGCTTTAAAAGTCATAATTAATTGAACTTTACTTAATATGGTAATAAAGTCACACAAAATGTTGTAGTATATTCAGGGGAAAATTGGAGACCAAATGACATGTGTATACATGAGTGAGCAAAAGCAATAAACTGTCGCAGGGAATGATGAAAACAAACTGTGTGCTCATCTAGGACACACTTCAGAATAATCAGATATGATAATTGCTATTGACAAAATCTGGAATTATGGACTTTTTTTTACATTTTTGTCTCAGGATTCCAATGTCTGTTCAGCCAGTTTTTTTTATCTGTAATTTCTGAATCTGCTAAATGGGAGGCTGTTAATCCGAGGTTTTACTGTATAATAATTCCGACCCAGAGAGATAACAAAAACACTGTACATGATGTGCTGTGCAATATTATTCATATCTGGAATGATACATGAAATGAGGACTGAATTGTAGATAAGTTTGATTTATAAAGTAATGAAACACATCTTGTACACTATTTAGAATAAAAAATCAAATAAAGGAGAATTTTCTAAACAAATCAACTAACATTTGCATTTCATTCCATAATCTGGACTTGTTTGTAAAGCTTTGCCAGTTACATTATCAGCAAGTTTAAGTTATATGCTGTTTTATTTGATTATATTTCAGGGCACTGAGGCATTTTCTGACAGTTTTTAAAGTTTAGTTTCAATAAACATACAAATAACAGAATTAATGTTACATTGTGTAGAAGCAGAAATTACTATAAATTTTAATTAAGCTTGCTCTCTAAAATATGTTAAACTATAAAAATACTGTAGTATTATACAATACAATCTATCAAGCAAAGCATTCCAATAACCAGCAACATACAATATTTTTTTTTTATTATTAATTTATCATTAAGGCTTTTGGGGACAATTTGATACTTGGATGTTATTAAGCCCAAAATTTATTTTTCTATATTACAGAAAAATAAAATATTTAACCCTTAAACTGCCCAGACATAGATCTATGTTCCCATGTGTAGCGCTCGAACATAGATCTACATTTTTTCAAATGTAAAAAAAAATGTAGATCTAAGTTCGGAGTGCTACGCACATGAACGTAGATCTACGTTTGGACAGTTTAAAGGTTAATACAAAATGAAATCTGAAGTAGGTGTCAGCTGAAGTGGAGTGGTAAATCATGCAAAAACCATAGTAGCAGTGGCAGCTCGTCCATAGGAGCTGCAGAGCTGCAGTTCCACCCAGCTGCTCACTGCCAGATGTATGACTTTATCAACCTTACACTGAAACAATTTGCAGCTGATAAATATATTACAAGAAAAATCTGTTGCATGTTGTTTTCAATGTATTTATATGTGAATTTTTAATTTTTTTGTTGAAACGAGATAAAAAATATTTAAAAATAGAAGTTTGATGTGGTACGAGAATATAGGTATTACTGGTGTCACGAGCCGCCACTGCATAGTAGTAATGAAATGCAAACTTATTGTGATATCTGTTCATAATCATCATAGGAACAAATTCCACATCAGTGTCAATTATACAACAATGTATATGTAACACTTAGTTTTTCTTATACAGTGGACCCCCGGTTAACGAACTTTTTTCATTCCAGTAGTATGTTCAGGTGCCAGTACTGACCGAATTTTTTCCCATAAGGAATATTGTGAAGTAGATTAGTCCATTTCAGACCCCCAAACATACACGTACAAACGCACTTACATAAATACACTTACATAATTGGTCGCATTTGGAGGTGATCGTTAAGCGGGGGTCCACTGTACTGTACTTCAATAACAGTAGCCTCATACATGTCTGTATGAGACTAAACTCTACAAGATTCAGGATTATCAATGCTGCAAGTGTGCATCCTTGTAAAATTAAGCTGCCAAAGCTCTAAGAAAGGCTACCAAGAGCTGCTAAACCAGAATTTCTTCAGCGTGCAAGATTATTGCTAATGGCAACTGTAGGCATTCATGGGACAAATCACACTGTACATATTGTGGCACATGACCTGACAAATTATGGCTGCAGATATACAGCTCATTATTATGGCATTCAGTTCAGAAAATGACATGGTATGAGCCTGAAAAATTATTTAAAATTAGAAATCCCATACTAGCACAATGGATGGTGCCACCAGTGTATGACCAGTAGGGAGACAGAAGATATGTGACGGACATGCAGCAGTTTGTTCTGGACCTGAGCTGTATGACCATACTTGTGTTGTTCTGAACTCCAGCCTGCCATTGTAAAGTGATTTTAAGTGAAAACTACTGCAATTCTCTGAAGTGCTTCAGGAAGCAGTACCCCCAGTGAGCATAAAAAAAAAAAAATAATTAAATTATTACGTATTTGTAGCTACAGGAGCAGAACTAAGCTCGTGGTGTCCTGTCTTCAGAATTTAGCCTAGCAAACTTTTTAGTTTCTAGTGGCTTTAGTATTTACTACCTCCTCCTGCAAGCCATTTAATTTTTTAAACCATATTTTGTAAAGTAAAAACTTTTAGTAACCTTCTAGCTCTTTTCCTTATAGACTTAGGACCTCTTATTCTGACAACTAATGGGGTTAGGAAGTTTTCATTGTCATTTTTTTTTTTCATTCTTTCACATCCTTTTCCTCCTCCTATCCAAAGATGGGTTTTCCAATGCTTTGGCTCTGGGAGCCACATTTTAACTTGTTTTAGTCTGTCTACACATTTTATCTTTAGATATAGATACCATACCACTGCCATGGTCTAACATGTATTATGAACACATTTTTCTAATTATTTAGAGTAATTCTGACTATTCAAATGATTAAACTCAGCTGAATAAAACTATTTTAATGCTTAACACCCTTAACTGTAAGTAGCAGTAATATTAAATTGTTTCCATATTACTGTTGAGGCTCTGGGAGGTGAAGGTGTTTACTTCTGCCAGATATTCATAGTAAAATCTTAAGAAATAATACTAAATCTTGGGTCAGGATATGCCTTTTTTCTGGGACTCCCCTTATTTTTTTTTTATTAATATACTGGCCATCTGTCACCAAGGTAGGGTGGCCCGAAAAAGAAAAACTTTCATCATTCACTCCATCACTGTCTTGCCAGAGGAGTACTTGCACTACAGTTATAAAACTGCAACATTAACACCCCTCCTTCAGAGTGCAGACACTGTACTTCCCATCTCCAGGACTCAAGTCCAGCCTGCCAGTTTTCCTGAATCCCTTCATAAATGTTACCTTGCTCACACTCCAACAGTATGTCAAGTCCTAAAAATCATTTGTCTCCACTCACTCCTATCTAACACGTTCACACATACTTGCTGGAAGTTCAAGCCCCTCACACACAAAGCCTCCTTCACCCCCACCCTCCAACCTTCCCTAGGCCGACCCCTACCCTGCCCTCCCTCCACTACAGATTTACACAAAGTCATTCTATTTCCTTCCATCCTCTCTACATGTCCAAACCACCTCAACAATCCCTCCTCAGCCCTCTGGATAATAGTTTTGGTAATCATGCACCTCCTCCTAATTTCAAAACTACGAATTCTCTGCATCATATTCACACCACACATTGCTCTCAGACATGACATCTCCACTGCCTCAAGCATTCTCCTTGTTGCAACATTCCCCACCCATGTTTCCCACCCATATAAGAGCATTGGTATAACTATACTCTCATACATTCCCTCTTTGCTTCCAATGACAAAGTTCTTTGTCTCCACAGACTCCTAAGTACACCACTCACCTTTTTCCCATCATCAATTCTATGATTCGCCTCATGTTTCATAGACCCATCTGCTGACATGTCCACTCTAAATATCTGAATACATTCACCTCCTCCATACTCTCTCCCTCCAATTTGATATCCAATCTTTTGTCACCTAATTTTTTTTATCATCACCTTACTCTTTCCTATATTCACTTTTAATTTTCTTCTTTTACATTCCCTACCAAACTCATCCACCAACCTCTGTAAATTCAGCCTAAAGCTAACATAGCATTGTTGTTAGACATCTCTACTGATGACTTGGTCATGGCTCTGGTGGGTGAGCTTTAGTGTCAATTTATAAAAAATCTATTATAAAGGTCCAAAAGAAAGGGCAAAAAGCATGTAGTAACTTAAAAAAAAATTACTGGTGAATATATAAAGTCCAAAAGCTGGACTTCATTTTCAGGTGAAATGCTGAAAAGTGTTAAGAGTTCAAAACAAAAACTGTAAAATAATTTAATATTCATATTTAATTTTGAGAAGAGAACAGGTTTCATTTAAGTGTTAATCAGTGTCTTAAATAGTGCCTGTGACCTTAATGAGAGTAATGGATGACATAGAACAAACAACAACTTTATTTCTTTCTGCAATATACAAAATGTAATTTACATGTAATAAAATATTAAGCACAAAAGAAAGCCACTAGCATGCAGTGCATTTTGGGCAGATGAATCCTAGAATTATTAAGTTAATTTGAGTAAGACACAATGAAATATAGCACAGCACGTAAAAAGGGAGGAGGAGGTAGGGGTATTCCTAGGAAGGATGGAGGGAGTAAAAGAGGTTTTGTGTGCAAGGGGCTTGGACATATAGCAGGAATGTGTGAGAGTGTTAGATAGGAGTGAATGGAGATGAATGGCTTTTGGGACTTGACGAGCTGTTGGAGTATGAGTAGGGTAACATTTTGTGAAGGGATTCAGGGAAACCGGTTAGCTGGACTTAAGTCCTCAAGGTGGGAAGTACAATGCCTGCACTTTAAAGGAGGGGTTTGGGATACTAGCTGTCTGAAGTGATACCTGAACTGTCATATCTGCACGTCCTCTGCAAAGACAGTGATTATGTGTGAATCATGGCAATAGTGTTTCTTGTTTTGGGTCACCATGCTTTGGTGGGAGACAGTCAGTGTTGAAAAAAAAATATACAAAAGGTTGTTGCTGTTGAGGGAGAAAAAAAAATCTGTTGTTCTTTTATAAGCAAAACTTGTTGACTTGGCTCATTAGGTAATGATCACATTGCCAAACAAGACAAGCATGTATTTGTTTTTGCTATAACCCCACACAAAAATTTTATCTAAGTTAAATAACACTAAATAAATTTAGTCAAACTCTGGATAATTTAGGAAGCATTTTACTGCAATATATCATACAAATTTAGCAAGATGTACATCAGCTGGTTATTAAGTTACTTTTGGTGCCAAATTTAAAAAATTATAAGTGAAATTAATTCCTGTGAATACTGTATATATACAACATCAATACAAAAGATAATTTTGATAAAAGCTATTTTTAAAATAGTTCAACTTGATTTGGCTTATCAGGCAGAACACAGACTTTTCAATATATGTATTACCAGAGGCTATAGCAAAATTGTTTGCACCAGTCAGTAACTTTAAGGAGAGACTTTACAAGTTATGCTTACTTGCAGGTTGCAATATATAATAGCCTGGATGGTCAGTAAACAATAGATCCTCACTCCAAATCAAGATGCAAGAGTAGAACAGATTAAAGTGAAACATCTATGATCATCCCAAAATAATTAGGCAAGGAGCTCTATAATGAATAAAATATCTCGATACCTACCTTATAGACTCTGCTATTTGCCTACTTGAGAGATGTTCATCCATGATCCAGCGGGAACGTAGTAAAGGTTTCTCATAAAGAGGAACACCATTAAAATTACCTTCGTCCATACACCCATCAGAACATTCTGCTAATTTTATCTGGCATCTGTAAGTACAAAAGCAATCAAAAACTATTCACTAGATTATGTTAATTTCAGTAGACAATGTTAATCATATGAAAAATTAAACCAAAAATATACCTTTTAGCTCCAACTGTATGAAGTAGATATATTACTTTGTCTCTCTCTGCTGCTTTGATCTTATCATCTACCTTACATGATGCAGCCAAATGCCTTGGTGTCTCCCCTTTCTTGTTCACAGCATTGATTTCTCCTCCAAACACAATGAAGGCCTATCAGAAAAGGAAATTGGATATTTTAATTCTTCAAAATTATTTTGAGGCCATGCATTTTCAAACTCTCTATTATCTCTCACAAATTATAACCTACAATGTTCCATTAATTATTTTAAAGGTTCAATGAACTATACACATATACCCAGACATGGGAGAATAAAACTTATGATGATGATTCAGTCCAACTTGGACCATTAATGGTCTAAGTTGATCATATGTGTCATTCTTCTACGTGCAGGTTATTTGCATACTGTTCCTGTCACAGTATTGTGCCTTTTCATTCTTCAGTAATAATAAATGATGATGGAGCTTGGACATTCAACATGCTTGTGTGCGCCTCAGAAAGGAGTGAGTGGAAACAAGTGGCTTTTTATGACTTACAATGCTGTTGGAGTGTAAGCAACATAACATTTATAAAGAAATTTAAGGAAAACTGGTTAGCCAGACTTCAATCCTGGAGGTGGGAGTAATGCCTGCACTCTGGAAAAGGAAGGGTGGGGATGTTGCAGTCTGCCAGGCTATCAGAACTGTGATGCTAGCACACTTCTATCAAGATAATGATTGAATGAGTAATGATGGTGTTTCCTCTTTCAGGTAACCTTATCTTGATGGGCGATGGCTGGTGTGTCAAAATAATAATAGTTATGCAGGGCAATTCAAGAAGACTAAAACTAGGACTAAAAGTACCTAATGCTAATGAAGTTTTTTATATGTTTCAACTTTGGTCATTGAGGTGATGTTCAAAGTATAGTCTGTGAAATCTTGTTGGATGACTGTGCGAGAAATAACTGTCCTACAACATAAACTGATGGTGGTGTGTTGGTATAGTTACCACGTTTTTTGCCAATGGTGTAGAGATGCCTTACTGTACCAGTCTTGTAAGCATCATTAACTTAGATGATTCATATCCCACTTTTTAAAGGGTGGAAGTATGCTTTGCAATTCATTGGTTATAATGACTTTTTTCCCAGTCTCATTTATAGAACATCTTTGCCAGTATGTGAGGTTTTCTGGTGGTGTGTTTCTTAGTATATGACTGAGGTGTGTGTGCTATGTTAGTGTCATTGCTTGTCTGCTGCTTTCTCTTGGCAGAGAGCCTCAAACTACTCTGTCCTTTTGCACATAGATGATCCATGAATCATTGTTGCATCATTCAAAATGCCAGTTTCATACTCAAGGTAAAGTGGCAGTCTGAGGTACCAGAAGGGATAAGTAGAATGCTAGTAAAAGTGTCAGTCAACAAATGGATGCCCAAAAGTCCCTCTGGTTCTGAGAAGGGTTCATGACCTCACATGACCTGACCTAACATTTTGCCCTTTGCTCTTTAGCTCCTGCCAATCATTTCTATATTGATAACTGCATACTGACCTTCTGTGGTTCTTACCTGAACTAAAGTAGTGGAGCACTGAGCAGCTGCTAAGTGTAGTGGAGTGGTGCCTTCCAAGTCAGCACAATTGGCTTTTGCACCTCGACACAAGAGTGTTACAATGCACTGTATTCTATTCCGCAAAACCTGATAAATGGATAATCATTATTTTTTCAGGTGTCACTTTTTAAAACAAGTTTTTTAATCTAAAATTTAAAGATATTACTCATACAGGTCCTGCCAAGAAATAATACTGAAATTTACATTATTAGTAATAATTAATACTGTACATGTACAGTATTTTTATTCTCTGTATTCTATAAATATGTTAAGAGGAGTTGCCTATCATGCCTGAATGTGTTGAGGCTGTGCATAACAGAATTTGAGAAAATAAATTTCACTCAAACTGAAGCAGACTTTTTGCATTCAAAGTTTTTTTTTTTTTTTTTTTATAACAAGTTGGCTGTTTCCCACAGAGTTATCTTATAATAATGTATCAAGTATTTAACCGCTGGGTCGCCATCTGGAGAAGACCCAGGCCGGAAGTACCGGCAAATCCCTAATGAATGAATGAAGTATTTAACCCTTTGAGGGTCAACAGGCCTTCTCCCAAACTTGTTCTCAGGGCCGAACAACTTTCAAAAAAAAAAAATTATTTTTTCTCACGAAATGATAGAGCATATTTTTGCGAGTGTTATAGGAAAAAAAAAATTTTGCGATCAATACTTGCTGAGACATGGAGGCATGAAGTTGACAGAAAGCGAGCTGCTTACAGCAACACCGTAGACTTCCGGTCATGCAGTAATAGTTTATTTATTTTTCTATTTTTTCTTTTATTTTTTTAAATTTTATTTTTTCAAGTAACATTTATGGCCTGTGAGACCAATATAAGCTATATTTTGGATATATACTACATTCATTGTATATTACACAATAACTGCACAAACATTGATGGGTGAACATTTTCACCTATTTTATTCACATACTATTGTCTAGAAATATATACAGTGGTCCCTCAATTATCGTCCTTAATCCGTTCCTGGAAGTGGGACTATTATCGAAATAGATGATTTTCGAATCAATTTTCCCCATAAGAAATAATGTAAATCCAATTAATTCGTTCCAGACACCCAGAAGTATCAACAACAATTTTTTTTTTACCTAAAAGATAGATTTACATGCACAAAAGAATGAACATTCAACATGACAGTTACCTTTATTGAAGGCTGTTGTTGATGAATGGAAGACAAGGAGGAGGAGAGAGGGAAGAGAGGTTATTGTTTGGAAGGGGAATCCCCTCCATAAGGACTCTATGTCACTTCCCTAGCATAAATATAGATTTACGTGCAGAAAAAATGCCAAATAAATGTAAAGCATTAATAAAATGTATAAATGAACATTGGTAATAGGGGTAGTTGAGTGGAACGGTCTGCCTAGTAGGGTGATCGAAGCTAAAACATTGGGTAGTTTCAAATTTAGGTTGAATATATACACGAGTGAGAGGGGTTGGATTTGAGTTGGACTTGCACCTGAGCTTATTGCTTGGGTAGCATTTGTTCTGTTAGTGGGTTGGATTTGTGAAGGACTGGCCTAGTATGGGCCAGCAGGCCTGTTGCAGTGTTCCTACTTTCTTAAGTTCTTATTTAACATCACACTTACCAGTAGGGTGATCGAGGCTAGGACCTTGGGTAGCTTTAAGAAGAGATTGGACAAATATATGAGTTGGAGGAGCTGAGTTTGATTTGTGTCATTGGGTACGGGAGTAAATTCTTGGGTAGCTTTGGGTAGAGGTCATTTTGATAAGGACCTGCCTTGTATGGGCCAATAGACCTGCAGTGTATAAGAGGTGGTATAAGAGGCCATGCGCTTGCATATTTCAAATCCTACCTTACTAATAGGTATCAGTATATGTCACCATTAACCCTTTGACTGTTTCAGGCCCCTTTCTGAAACTGTCATTCTATGTCGCTCAATTTTTGAAAAAAAAAAATTATTTTTTCTTATGAAATGATAGAGAATCTTTTCCCAATGGTAATGACACCAAAAGTTGGAAATTTGGTCGAAAACTCATGGAATTATGCTCCCGCGAAGTTAGCGGTCTCTGCGACATATGCGAATCAGCGATTTCGCCGACTTTGAGCCCTATTTTCAGCCAATTCCATTGTTCCAGTTGACCAAACTCGTAGCTATTTCTTTAGAACTCCATTTTATCTATCAGCTGAGTACAAGAAACCTCCCATTTACTAATTTGGACTACCCAATATGGTGGTCAGAAATTGGCAATTTGGCTAATTTCACGCAAACTAAAAAATATGCCAATTTCAAAATGGGGTCCAGAATAAACAAGGTAGACATTCGTGGCACTAAAATAACATATGCTCTGTTCATTAGTCACATCTCTAGGCCCCCCTTATATTATTATTGCTTTCTATTTTGACTTTTTATTCATACAAAAAAATACAAAATTTACTGTTATGCAGACTACTGCATTATTGTAAAAATGGTATAAATAATATCATTGCACTAGTGAAAGAATATTAGACTCCCCAGTTGACGTGTATTGGACGTGTGGTGTGATTTATTTACTCCTGAACATTGGTAAAAATCGAACATTTCTGCTACTTTGAGCTCAGTTTCAAGGTCGTTTTCATCATCAAAGTAATGAAAATCATCTCTATTTCTGTAGTATGTTTTCCATTTTATCACCTAAGACCATGAAAAACTCGAATACAACGATAAATACTATACGAAAATACACCTCAAAGTCGGCATTTTATTCCAAAAAAACGATCAGTTTTTTTTTTCTCATTACGCAATGTGTGCTGCAGGATTTTTTTTATATGGTGCACACTGACCACACAGACCCATTCTCTCACATGTGGGCCTACCAGCTTTCTCCCGCTTGATTTGAAGCCGCTAGAATTATTGAGTATATATACGTCAGAAACATTTGCTCGTAAGACGTACTTATACGTCGAAAACAGTCAAAGGGTTAAAGATACAGCATCAACAACACGGCCACTTGATACTGGAGTTCCGCAGGGAAGTGTCCTTGGTCCCCTGCTCTTCCTCATATACATCAATGATCTTCCAAACATATCTCAACACCTGAACCCCATTCTCTTTGCTGACGACACGACTTACGTCATCTCTCACCCTAATCTTGCCACCCTCAACACCATTGTTAACGAGGAGCTAATCAAAATATCGACTTGGATGATAGCCAATAAACTTACGCTTAACACTGACAAAACCTACTATATTATGTTTGGTAGCAGAGCAGGAGATGCGCAAATTAAACATTAAGATCGACAACACTGCTAACTATGCCAACATATGAGGAAAAAATTCTAGGCCTATACCTTGACAAAACTGAATTTCAGCACCCTTACCAACACATAACCAAAAAAGTATCCAATACGGCTTGGGATCCTCGTCCAATAACGATACTACAAAGCCGCAAAATTGCCCTTCTCACACTATACCCCTCGCTTATTTATCATTACTCACCTATCAGCATATTGTGTTGGGATCAACTGCAGCAACACACCTAAAGCCAGTATAACCCAACCAAAATGCCCGCAGTAAGAATAATCACTAATCACCATCCATGGCAACACACCCCCCCACTCTTTCATAGATCTAAACTACTCCCTGTTCAGTACAATCCACACTTATTACTGTGCAATCTACATTACAGACCTTTAAATTCCCAATATTAACCTGACTAAATCTCTGATAGTTGTGGTTACCAGAACCCCATAGCATAACACCAGACACAAACATCTCTATGACATTCCCGTGTTCCGAACTAAACCTTTACAAAAATTCAATGTATGTCAAAGACTAAAATCTGAACACCTACCTGAAAACCTAGAAACTGCAGACACATTCATACCTTCAAAAACTACCTTAGAAAAATCTTTCTCCACTGATTACAACCTGTCAAACCTAATTACCCGAATACCACTTGCGTGGTTCAAACTTACACTCCACTCACGCCATTTGACCATAAACAGACATAATCAATTCAATCTAAATAAGAATTCTAACTAGTCCATAGTTGAGCTGTGATATCTCCAGTACGAAACTATGTATTGTGCAAAACAAAGCATGCACATGTGCTAAACTCACAAACTAGTATTTAGTCACTGTAGCCATAATACTAACTTACCTAATAATTTGTAATATTTTAAAGTTAAGAATTAATCTAAGTCTGCCCGAAATGCCTAGCCATGCTAGGTGTTCTAGTGGCCCCCTCTGTAATTAGTATTTTACTACATGTAAACCACACAATAACCAAATTCTGTAAACTCAGCATTGTAATCCTTATAGAGAATAAACTTTGAATTTGAATTTGAATTGTTATGTTCTTAGTGGGAAGGATTGTAAAGGACCTGCCTAGTATGGGCCAGCAGACCTACTGCAGTGTTCCTCCTTTCTTATGTTCTTATTGGAGATTTGTTTGTGTGAGGGAGGGATGGCAAGTTTATTGTTGGAGAATATGACACTAATATCAACTCTATGGCTTATTTATCTATGACAATTCAACTAATATGACATAATAAACAATATTAATAACATAGAAACATGGAATATACTCTAGAATGAATAAAGTAAGTCATTACGTATGTCACAAGAGGTGTTGTGTTGTGTTGTTGTTGTTGTTGGGTATATAAGGGCCACTGAGTGTAAGCCGTCCATAATGGTGGTGAAGCAGCAGCTGAGGCGGCGGTGTTTTCTGTAGCCCTATATAACTCCAACAACATTGGAGAAGTTGGTAGAATCGCTGAATCACTAAAGAAGGAACCCTCTACCACCATCACTACGACCTTCTACCACTATTACAACTGTTACCACCATCATTACTACCTTCTACCATCATCAACCACTATCACAACTGCTTCCACTCTACCACCACCACCACCACCACCTTTGTATTTTTCTACAAACTTTTTCATAAATTATGTGTTTCTCACATTCTTTACCAAAGGGCTGGCACTAGAAGCTTTCTTTGGAGCCATGGTAGCTTATTTAGCACTTGCAAGCACTAAAATCAATGGAATATTATGAAATATTTCGTAGGAGCATGTGAGGGGACCGTCGCTCACTGGTAAACAATGGCACACTGGCTGGGAAGGCAGGCC